CGGAGGCTAATGGAGAATTCTAAGATGGCCGCAATTTATAGCTCCACCATTACACAGTCCTGGCTGGCTGGCTGCTGATTGGCTAATGCGATCACATGTCATGAATGAATGCATTATGGGTCAGCGCGCCTTGTCTGCGCGCCTTCCCAGAGATCCCCGCTCCGTCCATGTCGCTGCCATTTTTGGGAAAATTCGATTCGTGCATTCGAAGTTTGCTAATTTTCGGATTCGGCGCGAATCGAATTTTTCCTGATCTTCGAAACGAATTCCACGTCGCCATGTTCGATTCGCTCATCTCTAATAATAATAATCATACAGTCCAATAATCTATTACATTTTTATGTGCATTGTGTTTGTTGCTGTAGTGCATCTGTTTTTTTACATATCATTGAGCTATTAGCTGATAAACACCTATCTTCCAGAAATGAATTTTATGATTAACCCTCGGTAACATTTCTCCCAAATATTTAGAAAAAATTCAGCAAGCTTTATTCGTTTGGTGCTAGAAAAACTGTTAATAAACCAATTTATTTATATTTATTTTTTTCTAGCTGATAAACACCCATCTTCAATTGCAGAAATGAACTTTATGATTAACCCTCAGTAACATTACTCCCAAATATTTAGAAAAAATTCAGCAAGTTTTATTTGTTTGGTGCTAGAAAAACTGTTAATAAACCAATTTATTTATATACATTTTTTTCTTTTTACCCAAAAAGACCTTTCTTCTTCATCCTGAAAAAAATGCAAAATGAGATTTGCACCCAAAGACCTTTCCACAGAATAAGACACGCTTCAATAATAAACAGGTATTCCCTGAGGGCTCTTACTGGGTTTCTGTATATTTTCCACTGCAATTATCCTATTGCATGCCACAGAGGTCTCGTGCATACCGCAAAACTACAACCCGAAATCCATCCTGGAAAATAATACTAGTTACAACACAGTAACATTAAACATTGCTTCTGCTGTTTTACTTGGTAGAAAGTGGGGAAGTTTCTTTTGCCATGCGACCCGATTTGCAAAAGCAGTCTTCATATACTCTGTCTTTTTATTTTGGGAAGTTTTTCCATTTGAACAGTTATGAATTCTGAGGTCTGGCCATCCTATACTCAGTTTTGGGTGGATGCTGGAGTTAAATCTGAACTCCAATTAGATATATAAAGGACATATTAATACAGCTCTCTCTCTCATATATTTACTGTATAATATAGGTATAGGGCCATGTCTTGGCATCAGCCTCCTGCAGCCCTGTACAACAGAGCTCAGAATGAGGGAGAGAGGGGAACACAAGGAGCGACTTCATTAGTCTTCTTCTTCACTGCTTATTCACAGGCTGGGGAAGAGGCAAGACCTGTAAGTGAAATACTCCAGAGAAACATCAGGTCTGCTGCCCTGCCAGGTAGAACTGTGCTATGTCACGGAGCTGTGTAAATCTCACGGCTGGGTGGACAATAAAACAAATCCTTTCTCAGGTAAAACAGCTCTTGTATATATGTATTTAACCACTTCAATACTGGGCACTTATACCCCCTTCCTGCCCAGGCCATTTTTCAGCTTTCAGCGCTGTCGCACTTTGAATGACAATTGTGCGGTTATGCAACACTATACCCATACAAAAATGTTAGTATTTTTTTACATAAATAGAGCTTTCTTTTGGTGGTATTTAATCATCACTGAGTTTTTTACTTTTTGCTAAGTAAAAAAAAAACACCTGAAACTTTTGAAAAGAAACGCACTTTTCTTCGTTTCTGTTATAAAATGTTGCAAATAAATAACATTTCTTCATAAATTTAGGTCGGAATGTATTCTGCTACATTTCTTTGGTGAAAATAATAATATTAATTGAATTTTTTTTCAAATGTTTCTATTATTTTTTAAATTTTTTATTAAATTTGTCTTTTTTTGACTATTTTATTTTTCAGCACACCTTGACCAAAGCAATACAATGTTACCATAGTAAGTTTTTTAACACATGATTGCAAATATCAATGTATTTCATTGATATTTGCAATCATTGTTACTGAATGAAACTGTTTCATTCAGTCTTTTGTTGTGATTAGCTGTGATTGGGCAAAGCTGATCACATGATACAGATGGGCTGTGATTGGCCCTGTCTGTATCATGTGACTACCTTGACCAGTCACAGCTAACAACATAATTGTATACAATGGATGGCATGACAGGAAGCCATCCATTGTATACAATTGACATGTGATTGGTCATAGCAGTCACATGACACTGGCAACGGGCCAGTGTAGTGATATTATTTTTATTATTATACAGTATTTATATAGCGCCAAAGGGTATGCTCAGCGCTGTACAGTAGCAAGGGGGACAGAACATGAGACAAGACAGTAACAATACACTACACGAGGGGTTTGAGGGCCCTGCTCTTTCAAGCTTACAATCTAGGAGGGAGGGGAAGGTGGTACAGGAGGAGATGGCTGTGGGGGATGGAGTGGTGGGAGGAGTGGAGGAGGTTAGTTGTTAGGTGAGGTCGGGTGTTAGGTGAGGTTGAGGTAGGCTTCCCTGAAGAGGAGGGTTTTCAGGGTGTGCCTGAAGGTGAGGAGGGTAGGTGACAGTCTGATGGATTGGGGTAGGGAGTTCCAGAGGATGGGGGAAGTCCTTGAGAAGTCCTGCAATCGGGTGTGGGAGGAAGAGACCAGGGAGCTAGAGAGTAGGAGGTCCTGTGAGGAGCGGAGGGCATGGGTAGGGTAGTATTTGGGTATGCCCCTTCTTCTCCAAACGTACCTTTGCTCATTCCGGCCAAAAAGTTCAATTTTAACCTCATCGGTCCACAGAACTTGTTTCCAAAATGCATCAGGCTTGTCTATATGTTCATTTGCAAAGTTCAAACCATGATTTTTGTGGTGAGGACGTAGAAGAGGTTTTCTTCTGATGACTCTTCCATGCAGACCATATTTGTACAAGTATCTCTTTATAGTGGAATAGTGTACCACAACTCCAGTGTCTGCCAGATCTTTCTGGAGGGATCGTGCAGTCAAACGTGGGTTTTGAATTGTTTTTCTCACAATCCTGCGAGCTGTTCTGTCTGATATTTTTCTTGGTCTTCCAGATCTTGCTTTAACTTCCACTTTTCCTGATGACTGCCATTTCTTAATTACATTCCAAACAGAGGATATTGACATCTGAAAACGCTTTGCTATCTTCTTATAGCCTTCTCCAGCTTTGTGAGCGTCAACTATTTTCAGTTTCAGTTTTCTAGACAACTGCTTAGAAGAACCCATGGTGCTGATTGTTGGGGCAAGGTCAGATGAGTCTGGGCATTTAAAACCTTTGAGATTGACATCACCTGGTCTTCCCAGATGATGATTGAGAACAATCCATGACACTGGCAGGTCTCAGCTTGGTAAAGGGGGCAGTGCATGCTATAAATTCCTCAGGGTGCCCAAACTTTTGCAGACGCCATTTTTTTGTTTTCTGTTATAACGTTCCTTTGGGTAGGCCAGTGAGAAGGGAATTGCAATAGTCCAGGCGTGAGATGATGAGGGAGTGTACGAGTTGTTTGGTGGTGTCTGAGGTGAGGAATGTGCGTATCTATGTGCGTATCTTGGAGATGTTGCGGAGGTGGAGCCTGCAAGATCTAGATAGCAGTTGGATGTGGGGTAGGAAGGAGAGGTGGGAGTCCAGGGTGACACCCAGGACTTTGGCATGTGGGGTGGGAGAGATGTTTGAGGAAATGGAGCGATGATATGTCATCGGCTGTGTCCCATGAACACAGCCGGTGACCGATTGCGCCGCTGGTTGGGCCGTGTGAGAGGCTAATTTTGACAGGACGTCATATGACACCCAGTCATTTTGCCACTAGCCAGGACTCTAGCTTAACCAGTTAAAAACCATAAGTAGCAGTCGTTGTTCAATCAGTTTTTGACAGTTTTGCGCTTTGGAGTATGCATGTAGATGGAAAAAAAGTGTACTCAATGTCTAGCTGTGTTGATATTGCTTGTGCGCTGGCTGGTGTTACTGTAAGGCTTAAAGTAGTAGTGAAGTTGACTTAAAAAAAAAATCTGGAAGACTGGTGGTCCTGGAACTCTTGTGTTTATAGAGGCATATTAAATGTTGCCCTGATAGAAGCGGGATATAAAGTGTATGCAAGATGGCACTGTTCTACATATATGGTGGATCTGCCCCACAGTCCGAATTATTGGATGATATATTCACTCATATTCTCGGTCACCATAACCAAACATGCTTGCATTGCTTTGTTAACCACTTTGCCCTCCTGAAGATTTACCCCCCTTCCTGACCAGGCCATTTTTTTGCATTATTTTAAATGACAACTGCAAGGTCATGCAACGCTGCACCAAAATTAAATTTATGTCCCTTTTTCCCATGAATGGAGCTTTTTGCTGTGGTTTTTGATCACCTGTGCGGTTTTTATTTTTTGCCCTATAAAAAAAAAAAAGAACAACAATTTTGAGAAGAAAAGAATATTTTTGATTTTTTGCTAGTAGCCTCCCTAGCGGTCTGACTATGTCAGTATTTCTGTGCTTAAAGTGGTACATTTTTTTGTATGGAAATATGTAGTTTTTTTATTGTAGGCCTGTAATTTTAGGAATAACTCACTGAAATCTGTCTGAACAAGAGTCTAGTAAACATCCCGGGTATGTTAAAATTTGAAACACGAAATCATAATTTATAATGTAATAAATAATCATAAAAAATAACAATATAATAATAATACATTTAATTCAATAATATAATCAAACCAAAAACACTGAAATTTGAAATAGAGGGCCAAGTTCGCACATCACTGAGCAAAGTCGCAAAATCGTTTTCAGTGTCTGATGATGAATTTCCCCACGAATCATTATCACTCAATTCTGCAAGTAGTTCTAATTTACTATCACTGTTCTCTAGCTGGTCTAAAACCGCTTTTGACCTAAAGGGACACTTTTTGGACGCCATGGACATTTCTCAGTTTCAAGGCAGAAAGAACAGTAAAAATGCAGGCAGGACAAAGCACTAGGGACAAAATGTATGTGAAATGCTTTGATACAGTAATGTTTTACTATGTGATTTTAGTGTATTTAGTGAATGTCACTTTTTGACATTTTTAAATTTCCCGCCAGTTCCGTTACCGTACGTCCTGACGTCGCAGGGAACAGAACCCGGAAGACCGATGCCGGCATCGGCCGGAGGACATGGCCGGAGACGCTGCAGGGGGGACATCACGGGAGCGCAGGACAAGGTAAGTTAAGAAGAGATCCCAGAGCAATGCTGCAGGGTATTCCTGAGTGTAGTTCGGGGTTACCGCTTGTGGTGCTGAAACTTTACCCCGAGCTACACTTGGGAATACCTCCAGGGAGGTTAAACATGTCCAGTAAAAAAATTGAAAAAATAAAACTTTCCTCATAAATTTAGGCCAAAATGTATTCTGCTACATGTCTTTGCTAAAAAAAAAATCCCAATACGTGCAAATTAATTGGTTTACGTGAAAGTTATAGTGTTTACAAATGGCAGTATATATACTGGGATTTTTTTTTTTAATTTTTACTAGTAGTGGTGTCGATCAGCAGGACTGTGGTGGGCATTCCGACACTGGGGGGGGAACTGACTTGGTGTCACTGACATCCCCAGTGACATCAATACAGTTATCAGTGCTAAAAGCACTGACACTGTACTAATGACACTGGGCAGGAAGGGGTTAACATGTGGGCGATCAAAGGGTTAACTGTGTGCTGTGTTTGTGCTTTACTGTAAGCACACTGCTTTGCATGGCTGTGCTATGCAAAGCCATGCAAAGCAGTGCGCAGGAGCTGACAAGCGAGATAACTGTTTTGTTTACAAACAGTTCTCTCCCCTGTCGGAGATGCTCGGCATTCAGCGGGCGCCGGCGATTAGTCAGTAAGCCAGGATCCGGTGATTGACAGCAGTACTTCTGCTATAGGGCGGACGGGAAGCGGTTAAATAAGCTGGTTGACAATGTCCCCAGACCCACACAAACCTCAAGCGTGGTACCGTGATAGGTTGCCACCTGTGCAATAAGTCCATCTGTGAAATTTCCTTGTTACTAAATGTTCCACGGTCAACTTAGTGGTATTATAAGAAAGTGGAAGCAACTGGGAACAACAGCAACTCAGCCACGAAGTGGTAGGCCACATAAATGACAGAGCGGGGTCAGTGCACAGAAGTTGCCAACTGTCTGCAGACTCAATAGCTAAAGACCTCCAAATTTCATGTAGTCTTTAGATTAACACAACAACAGTGCATAGAGAGCTTCCTGGAATGGATTTCCATGGCTGAGCAGCTGCATCCAAGCCTTACATCACCAAGTGCAATGCAAATCGTCGGATACAGTGGTGTAAACAACACCGCCACTGGACTCTAGAGCAGAGGAGATGTGTACTCTGGAGTGATGAATCACGCATCTCTGTCTGGCAATCCGATGGACATGTCTGGGTTTGGCGGTTACTAGGAGAATGCTACTTGCCTGACTGCATTGTGCCAAGTGTAAAGTTTGGTGGAGGGGGATTATGGTGTGGGGTTGTGTTTCATGGGTTGAGCTTGGTCCCTTAGTTCCAGTGAAGGGAACTCTTAAGGTGTCAGCATACTAAGACATTTTGGACAATTTCATACTCCCAACTTTGTGGGAACAGTTTGGGGATGGCCCCTTCCTATTCCAACATGACTGCGCACAACTGCACAAAGCAAGGTCCATAAAGACATGGATGAGGGAGTTTGGGGTGGAGGAACTTGACTGGCCTGCACAGAGTCCTGACCTCAACCTGATGGAACACCTTGGGATGAATTAGAGAGGAGACTGCGAGCCAGGCCTTCTAATCCGACATCAGTGCCTGACCTCACAAATGTGCTTCTGGAAGAATGGTCAAACCTTCCCATAGACACACTCCTAAACCTTGTGGACAGCCTTCCCAGAACAGTTGAAGCTGTTATAGCTGCAAAGGGCAGGCCAACTCAATATTGAACCCTACGGACTAAGACTGGGATGCCATTAAAGTTTATGTGCGTGTAAAGGCAGGCGTTCCAATACTTTTGGCAATATAGTGTATGTGCCTCCCTTTGTGAATGATGCCATCTGAACACCTATGCACTTGTTATGTCTTGTTCTCTCTTTTTGGAAAGAAAAGTTTGCAATAAAAATATTAAAACAGAAAAAAAATCTCTCTGCAAAGCAATGTCATAATGTGTTAATACGCATCGCATACTAGGACATTATGAAAGACTTACCTTAGAATGAAGCCCTCCAGCGGCACGCTGTCACTACTGACAGGGCTTCCATCTTCACCCAGTCTTTCTTCTGGGTTTGTGGGCTCTGGCTGCTTGATGATTTCACTCCCACGCATGCGTGTGGGAGTCTGAGCTCTGAAGGAATGGCACGGGTATGCTGTTCCTTCAGAGCGCATGCGCCAGTAACGTCACTGGTTGCAGGGACACTGAATATCTCCTGAACGGTGCATGTTTAGGAGATATTCCTTGTACCTACAGGTAAGTTTCATTATACACTTGCCTGTAGGTACAAGTGTCCAGTAGAAGTTTGCTCCCACTTTAAACTGGTCATACATTATACAATTTTCCTTTAGATTTACCAAAAACCATATAATACGAGGTGACGGTCAAACCTAAACAACACCTTCAATTTGTATCCAGTCAGGCAGGCCCTTGCACTACATAACTGAAGGTAAATCTAAAGGAGATTGTACAGAAATTTTACAAGAAAATTGTATTAATCATGGCTAGCTTTAGTGTACACTTATGGCAAATGAGGAAAGGTAAAAACAGGCTTTTGAGCTACAGTTTAACCTCCCTCTAATTACCTCTCTTTGCTGAACACAGAAGTCAGAAGGGGTTGTACACATACTACAATGCTTTGCTTTGTGGCCATGGCAAGAATTATTCCCTCCCTTGTTTATCTGGCAAAACTGCTTCCAAATGCGGCCCATTTAAATGAATACGGGCATGCCGCAACCACCCTGCAACTACATACAATGCATTGTGGTGGTGCAGGATCTACAGGGTAAAACAGGTGGTGAGTAGGTGATATATTCACTCTAAACCACCTGCATTGCTTCCTGAAAAGCGATCCCCTGTAGAATGCTCTTCAGATGGCAATACAAATGGTTGACGAGCCCTTAAACTTTTGCTGAAGTCATAAAACCAGCAATTTATGGGAAATTGTTTTTTGAGATAATTTAGAGAAACAAAAATAAGCAAAGTTCAACAGCTATTGACATACTATATTTATTATTGAATGTTGCAGTTCATCTGAAGTTTTTTTTTAATATATCAGAACCTGAACTCAATTTGGGTACACTGGGAATTTCATTCATGGGAAATGAAAGCGTAGGTTAAAGATTTTGGGTGGGAAAATTATTGTCCTGGGAAAGCGAGGACACAAAGGAGCTCAGGTCACATATTCCTTTAAAGATGCTATATTTAGAATGGGAAAGTAAAAATATACTTTTTAAGCTCAGCTTTCCTGATTTGTGGAATTTCAATGTTTTCTTTTGCTAGCTACAAAACTGGATGGGTCTATTGGAAAAAAAAAGAACTCTACAATATTAGTTACATTGTGGTGCCTTTTTTATTTCATTTCAGTAGATTCTCACGTCCCCGGACCTTCCTCTCCATTCTACTGATAAAGGAATTCACATGAGAATAGAGTAATGTAAATTTCTGAAAGTCTGTAACTAAGGCTTCTGCTTTCTATTAACTGAAAAACCCCATTGTGATTCCTGATAGGTTCCATTTCCCCGGCTGGTAATCTTGTTATACCTAAATTCTAAATATCTTTAATTGAACATATGTCATTTGGCTATGCACAATAAACAGAACCCCCTGTCCTTGACTTGCAGCAGATTGGTCCCATCAGGAGCTCTCGCAAATGCCATCATTAAGCCTCAGTTACAAATGCTGTTCTGACATCCATTTAATCATAATACCTGCTTGATATGCTTGCTTTTTCTTTAAAGGTAATGTAAAATGTTATCAATTTCTATAGATTTGCATGGAAAATAGATGCAAAGACTTATTGTAGATGATATCATTATGTGTTAATGTCTAAAAATTGTGGGTTTAGTTTGTAATTATATATGTATTTTAAACAGGGCAGCCATATTTGCTCATCACATACACAAGTTCTGATTACTGCTTTGTAGTTTTGCTTTACTGTTCTTTCACAATGTATGTCTGAGAGTGTCAGCTGACTCTCTGAAAACAATGCACTCCCTGTGCGGCTGATATTGCATGTTAGCAGTTGTTAAAGTATAACTCCACCTTTGTGGAAAAAAAAAATATAGGAAAAAAAAAAACCAAAATATGATATATACAATATATTTCCAAAAGTATTGGGATGCCTGCCTTTACAAGCACATGAACTTTAATGGCATCCCAATCTTAGTCTGCAGTGTTCAATATTGAGCTATTTAATTATTACAAGTACTTATATAGCGCCATCTATTTACACAGCACTTTACATATATTATTGTATGTTCACATCAGTCCCTAACCCTCAAGGGGCGTACAATCTAAGGTCCCTAACTTACATTAGTACATACATATACTAGGGCCAATTTAGACAGGAGCCAATTCACCTACCAGCATGTCTTTGGAGTGTGGGAGGAAACCAGAGTACCTGTAGGAAACCCATACAGGCACAGGGAGAACATGCAAACTCCAGACAGGTGGTGCTGCGGTTGGGATTCGAACCAACGACCATAGTACTGCCTAGTAGAAGTGCTAACCATTTAGCCACTGTGCTGGCCATGAGTTGGCCCAGCTATGACAGCTTCGACTCTTCTGGGAAGGCTGTCCACAAGGTTTAGGAGTGTGTCTATGAGAATTTTTTACCATTCTTCCAGAAGCACATTTGTGCGGTCAGGCACTGAGGACGGGCGAGAAGGCCTGGATCATAGTCTCCACTCTAATTCATCCCAAACGTGTTCTATCGGGTTGAGATCAGTTTCTCCACTCCAAACTCCCTCATCCATGTCTTTATGGACCTTGCTTTGTGCACTGGTGCACAGTCATGTTAGAACAGGAAGGGGCCATCCCCAAACTGTTCCCACAAAGTTGGGAGTATGAAATTGTCCAAAATGTCTTGGTATGCTGATGCCTTAAGAATTCCCTTCACTGGAACTAAGCGGCCAAACCCAACCCCTGAAAAACAACCCCACACCATGATCCCCCCTCCACCAAACTTTACACTTGGCACAATGCAGTCAGGCAAGT